GGCACTGAAGGTCACGGCGACGAAGGGGGAGCGAATCGCTCCGATACCAGTGTAACGAGCGTGAGGCTGAGGGTGAGCCGAGGGAGAGGAGAGAGAGGGAGAGAGTGAGAGCACACACACACACTCACTCACTCGACACGACTGACTCSGACTGAGGATCGGACGCAGACACAGTGGCAAGTCACAAAGTCGAAGTCTTGGATTCCGAATGCCGAAACAGCAAGTCACACTGAGTACGAGTACAGCAGCCGAGAACTGGTACGAGACTGGTCCCCGTACCGTACGGGGAGCCGGTATAAGTACCTGTGACACGTACGGTACTAGGGGCATTTTCTGCAAAGGCCCCGAGGGCAGAACTGAAAAATGCAGTATTTGAAAGTGGCGCCCGAATTGCAGCATGGCGCCAGTTGTCCAAAATCCTACGGTACCAAAGGAGGGGTTTGGAAAAAGGGTGCCAGGCCGAAAACGGGATGCAGCTGAAACAGCAAAAGATAGACCAGGGATCGAGCCCTGGCTGAGTCCGTAACAGGCGGGCTCTGAAGAGGCTCGCTAGGAGCATGGACCAAACAGTGGTGGTGTGTGAAGTCCACGTCCAATACCGGCCCTTTCGGGTGGCATATCGGAGGTGGGACCTAGCGTGGGACTCGGTGGAATGGGAATGGCCGGCGCAGGGCATGCAGCAGAAGGCGGTTCCGCTTCAGGAATTGACCACAAAGAATATAATAATATATACAATACGTTGCTGGAGCCAGTTGACATCTGTCGGGAGCTGAGCAACTGGTGGGCCAAAAGGAATTGGCTCCTGGATGTGTATTTCAACAGGTGGACGCAGTGAAAATGGAACGGCCAAGAGCCAACAGAAGGATCAGAAATGTGCAGCAGGCTGCGGACAAATTGAGGCCGTTCCCCACCTCTTCGTTCAGTGCCCGGTGGTCCGGACCTTTTGGGAATGGTGGGCAGATGAGATCGCAGACAAGACGCCACTGGATGTCACGGAAACAGATGACACTATCATTCTTCTGGGAACACTGATGAAAGTAGACAGATCAAGTATGGACGCGTTGATGGCAGCAGAAACTATCCGTGCAGCAGTACTATGGGCCCTGTGGACCCTGCGGAACGAACAATGCAGGCAGGGAGTTTCCCCGCCCGTGCAGGGTTATTAAGAAAGAGAACTTGAGAATTTTAGAATATCTCTGCTGGCGGACCTCCGCCGCTCTCGCTGTAAAGGGCCAGACAAGGAGCAAGGCTTTTGGGAAAGATGGAACCCGTATCCACAGCTGCTGACCGGGGACCCTCAGACAGGCCGGCTGGTGTTCGGGCCCGTTTTGTTGTGTCACGGGCCTAGCCTCTGGGCAGAGCTGGAGGATGAGTAGGATTTTAGCGTTCCACGGATCACAAACTGTAGTGTACCATAGTTAGGGGGCTCGGGTAGGATTGGCGTTTAGGAGGGGGTTGTACCATAGTGCCAGTGTGAGCGGGGATGGGTAGAAGGTACTAAGGGGGGAAGGGTAAAGGACTTGCAGATAGATAGGGTGTCTGGGGAGGTTTGAAAAGTTTCAAAACTCTTTAAGAAAAATAGAAAATATAACATACAAAGAGAGGAACTGCAATAGTAGGGTAACAAACAGCAATGCAACAGCAATAGTAAGTAATAGTACTATTGCTGTAGGGTGCAGCTACAGCAATGCAATATCATATTGATGGACTTATGGCTGGTGCGGCAGCCACCTACCAGATACGTGTAGCAGCTAAAGGGATAGGAATAAAGTGAAAACAGCAGTGTATTATGAAACAATAGACTAGCATTGACATGGTAGCCCCACCTGTAGCAGACACGAAGCATGGGTGGCTAGGACGCAGAGACAGTATTGGATGGGAGTGGGTGGGTACATATAATCAGGCTTCAGACGGGGGCTGAAATGGGATACCCGTTAAACACCTGGGAGATGGTGACTTGAAGTAGGGTGCTGAGATATACGAGTGCAAGCTCATGAACATCTTGATATGAGACAATGGATGAGGCGATGGATAGGGCCTGTGAGACTGTGGCGAACACCCTCCTCCCCCATGCCCTGTCCTTCTTGGCACTCCCCTGCTGCGTGCCTGGGTGCTGCCGGTAAGCTTCCCGATCAAAAGGGGAGCCCCTGCAGACGGGCTCTGGATGGGGTAGAGGGTCGGTTCGTAAAAGCCTTCCCCTTGGACAGGTGTGCTTTTACATATGCTGCTTTTCTGTGTTTAAACGTTTGTGTTTGAATGCATGACTAATGTTTGCTACCCAAAGGTTAGGCAGCTCCTGAATCTGCAATGTCTCCTTCTTCTGTGCTGTGGAACTATGCTTGCCAGAGATAAGTAACCGGACTGATGGCATCCCAGACTAGGAGTTTTGTTTTTGAAAAAAAAAAAAAAGTTAAAAAAAAAAAAAGTGGAGCAAAGCCACTGGCCAGACTTCTCTTTTACTAACCGTTTTACTAGTCCTGCTTCATTTTCCATTGACGTCACCATCATTGCCATCATCATCATCATCATCATCATCATCATTATCATTATGTTCATCAAGATAAAGTTAATCTCTATCTGTGAGGTCAAGTGGCCCTGGGCTCAACTGCTTCTCGCAGGAGTCTGGGTTCCACGATGCACTCCAACCAAGGCGTGCTGCAACTGTCGGATACCCACTTTACAAAAATGTTGAAAGAAAGGCCTGTTCGTGGATATGCTGACCGGCCTTCACTTAGGGCGGTCACAGGTCTGGCCCGCCTGCTCCCCTCATCACCCTCATCATCACCCTCATCATCATCATCATCATCATCATCATCATCATCATCATCATCATCAACATCAACAAGATCAATTCATCACGATGGATCTTACCCTGCTCAAGATAAGCACCAACCATCATAACCATCTGTATCACCCTGGGAATCATCACGTGGTCTTTCTTGTCTTCCTCCTCATCCTTCTCCTCCTCCTCATCATCATCATTATCACTGCCAATGTGGCGCCCACTACAGCATCCAGAAGCCACTTGCTACTTCAATGTTCGCATCAGCAGTCTGGATAATTATGTGCTCATCTTGCATTGGTATTATTGTAATCAACGTGACCTCGGGCTAAAGGGCATCAACATCACTGTCACAAAGCCATCATAATCATCACCATCTCTGATTTGTAATCACAGAGAGATCATGCTGATCACAGCCACAAAAACTTGACCTTAATCATAAATAATCAGGATCAACCGAAGCGCATGCACAAGGATCGAGGCTGTAAATAAAAGTTTATGCCGTGCGGTTTTGAAGTTGTATGTACTTATGGAAAGCACGTTAACCATACTTCCAGGAAGGTCAGGCTGAAGGACAGACAGCTCAAGCTAGCTCACTCTACTCGTACAGAGATCCTACGTCATCCTACTCATAACCATGGCGATTGACTCAAAGACGCTCACTTTTTTACCCTGTCCAACAAGGACATACTCACACTAGCACTTTTTTAGGTTTTTTACTTGTTTCTAGATGGAATTGCCTCCAGATGCGTACAAGTCCGCCCACAAATGTGGTCAGACGCATTCAAGATAGTGCTAGTGTGAGTATGCCCCTGAGAATCATTTTTCGGATATGCATACGAAGCGCAATTTTGCCGAGAAAGTCGTCGCAACGCCATCAGACTTGCTGCAGATCTGTACAGCGACTAAAATATGCCCAGATCCCAATCAGAGCCTAGGCAGAGCTCTATTTGAGCAAAAAATTGGTTCCGAGATAGGCAGATTCCCACCAGACTTTATTGAAGTTTATTCCTTGGTACAGAATGGTGTCCCAATATCTGGACCGCGGTTTCTTTCTTGTTTGCCCCCTTGTTCCCCCCTTCCCCTCCGTGTTTCCCCTGCTCCTGAAGGTACAAGCTGCTCCCGATACCCAGATCGCCGTTTGTCCTTTCTTTCCCCCTGGTTTCTCCTCTCCTTCTGAGGACACAAGCTGCCAGTGCCCAAGCACTCGAGCTTCAGACGCGGCGCTTTTCAATTTACTGCACCAAACACATATATCAGGGACTAAACAGGAAACCTGGGCCCGGAAAAACTCACTTCCAGTGGACGGAATATTCGAGTTCTTGAACAGCTTCTGTTGGCAAAACGCAGCGAGAAGAAGCCAGAAGCTGCAGAGAGCAAATAATATTCTGTTGTCCAGTTCCCCAGCCTGCATATTGACACGACAACGGAAACAGACAGAAAACAAAAACTGCCGTAAGCAAAGCAATCCATTACACAACCGCTATTTGTCATCCATCATCCATCCGAAGTTAAGAAGACATCCCAATCGTCGCAGCAATTCGCATCAATGACCAAATCGTCACATAAAAACAGAACAAGGCCCCAAATGAACAAAGGTGGCAGTTGCCATTATGCTACAAAAAGCATTCTATTAATTATGACATAATCTATCAACTAAAACAGCACACTTCGTGAAAAAATAAAACAATAAAAAGCACACTTCGTCAAACAGCTGAAAAAAGAAAAAGCAGACAATGTGAGGCACACTTGAACCATTCTTCTCCCTTGTTCTGTGCAGTTCTGACAAACTTGGGAGGTCCAGAAACACTCTCTTCAAAATAATAACCCGGACATAACAAGACGACAGTGCAGTACGGTAGTCCTTGAGCAAAGAAGGGGTAGGCAAAAAGGTGCAGAAAAAGTGAGGCACATGGGACAACAACCATATTCTTCACAAAAGAGACAAACCTGGCAAGTCTCTCGTGCACTGGCAGCTACCAAGAAAACATTCCATCTAATGCTGGAGACGATCAACGCTCTCTCTCTCTCTCTCTCTCTCTCTCTCTCTCTCTCTCTCTCTCTTTCTCTTTCTCTCTCTCTCTCTCTCTCTCTCT